CGGGGCCGCCGGGGGCCCGGACCCATTCGAAACGCTTGGAGCCGGCGCCATCGCCGCGTTCCCGTTGTCCCTCATTGTCCTTGCGGGGCCCGCGGCGACCTTGTTGTGTGAGGGGAAATTGGCGGGAACTTTTCGAACTCGGCGTGGTGACGTAGCGACGGCGGCCGCGGGGCATTGTGGGAGTTGTAGTCCGTGTGGCGGCGGGGATGGGGGGAGGCCGCCATTGCTGCCAGTGGTGTTAAGGGTGTCGCCCCCCGGCTCCCCTCAGGGTTTAGGTGGAGTTATAGGGGGTGGTGCTGCTTTCTCACCTCAGTGTTTCGCTTTTCTTGCAGGCTCCAGCTGAAGGCGAGGCAAAGGAGGAGGTAGGAGTTGTGTGTGGTCCTCACTCTCAAGAATTCCCGTGGGGTTCTGCAGAAATTGGGAAGCCCACGCAGCTCATGAGGGGTGTTCAGCTCCTGGGAGTGGCCTGTGCTTGGTTTTGGGGTGCTCGGGGCCATCACTGTCCTCTGAGGGGGTCCAGCAGCTCCCCTGGGCTGAGGTCAGGGACAGGTCCCAGTGGGGACGTCCCTTTTTGTCCCTTTTAGCCTGCAAGTAAAGAAACTTCATCCTTTACCTCGTCAGCAGAGAACTGCTGAGCAAAGGTGCACTTCTAGGAAGTCACAGAATGTCCTGAGCTGGATGTACAAGGATCATGGAATCGCAGCATGGTTTGGGCTGGAATAGACCTCAAATATCCTCTGGTTCTGTCCCACCTCCCACCATCCCAGGTGCTCCAAGCCCCGTCCAGCCTGGCCTCGGATGCTTCCAGGGATGGGGAGTCATCAAGGTCCTCACCATAATGCCCATAATTTCATAAATCCTAGGATTCCCCTGGGGCTTCATGATGCCATGTTGTTTTGGGTGGCTGTTATGGGAAAGCTGTGCTTTATGTGCTCTCTGGATTTTACTGACATATCTTTCCTTACGCAGCCAAAGAGAAGGTCAGCCAGACTATCTGCTGTGAGTATCTCTATTTGTCCTTTCATATTTTATCACTTGGGATGGGGGCAGTTAAAAATAAACCATGGAGGGTTTTCCCCCAGAATTGGGAAAAGCATGCTTAGAGTATTGCAATATTTAAAATTCCCATTCCATGTTTCTGCTCCCTGAGCATCCCCACATTCCAGGTTTCTCATATGAGATACAATGTCTGTGTTAGTGCACATTCCATCTGGGCACAAGTATCCAGAGTTAAGGAAAATTGATTTCAGGATGGATTTGTTCCCTGTAGGACTTCTCCATACAAATCCTCGTGGCTCTGTAAATCACCTGCTCTCTCCTTAGCCTGGTAATTTGCCCATTGATTTTTTGCAGGGCCAACAAATAATTTTCAAAAGCTACCAACATAATGCTCATAAAAAGAAGTATTTATTTCTGGTATTCACCTGACTTGTTTCTTGTGTTTTTTGCAGAAACCTGCTCCACCCAAACCGGAGCCAAAGCCCAAAAAGGCAGCACCTAAGGTAAGGGTCCTGAACTGAAGTTATATTTTCCTTCTTGAGGTATTTACAGGGATAAACCCTCCACAATTAACCACTTTGCTTATTCATAATTTTCTTGAAAGTTTTAAGATGGAATTCTGTGAGCTAAAAGAATGAGAAAGACATAATTTTATCCATTTTCTACTGAAGCAATGTGGTAAACTGAGCAGATTTGAAATCCCTTGTGGGGAGGCTTTGCTGCTGCTTTACAAGGCCATTCTGAAGTTTCATATAATGCATTGTTGGGAAAATGATGCTTGGAGTAGAGATCAGAGACTCAATTAGAGGAGGCATTGAAAATCATGCTTTTAATTACAGTTTCTTTCTATATTTCCATTCTGAGGCCCTCTGCAGTTAGTTATCAGTTTATCACATTTTAATCACTGAGTTCTAGAGACCCCTTCAGCTGGATATTTTTGGAAATGTCAAAAACATTGGCATGTCTGACAGTATAATTTAAAAGTAAACTATTTAAAGCTCTTTTTCAGTTTGTAGCAACAGTTTGAAATTTCAAAGGGGGCAGTTCTGCAATCCATGAGGGATGTTTTTCCATCCTCTTCTTATAAGCCTTCTCAGCCATCAGTTTGCAGTGCCTTTTTGTTAGATTTTTCTGTAAACATTTAGGATTTTGCAGCTAAAAAAAAACCCAATAAACACCCCAGCAACAAAACTTCAGTGATTGTTTTTAATCTGTTCCCATCACACATTTTCCTTGTGGTTTGGGATGATGAGGTGGGCAAAGCACAGCAGGGAGAGACACTTTGGTTGCAGAGGGAGATGATGGGCCTGGGAACAGGAGCTTTTCCCTTTTCCTTTGCAAAGGAATTTGCAATTGCCTATGGCCAGCAGACTTCCAGGTGAGAGAACTGTTTCTGTCCACATCCTCTGTGTGGAGAGCAGAGATGCTGTGGAGAAGAGAGAGAACCCCACGTGTCGATTTGGGCTCAGCTCTGTAATCTCAGCACTGTGCAGAGCGAGCTCTTCCCCTTCCATCGTGGCTGCAGCTGAATTCTAGACCACATTCCTGGCTGGAGGGAGCACTGGACACTCTGCCTTGCACTTCCCTCTAGTGGCTGCTGCCCCAGGCAGAGCAGAGCCAGCTGCTGGTGGCACACAGGGCAGGGCAGCAGTGGATGATCCACGTTGTTGTATTTGGGTTTTTTCCCAAGTTTGCTTTTCTGTTTTCATAGAAACATTGCAGGGTTTAAACACTAATGCTGCCTTAACTGAATGTGAAAAGATGCAGGAACAGGAGTGCAAGAGTTAAGGTCTGTAAGGGACTGGCAAAGCTTCATTTGGGCCCCCAGTGCACAGCTGGGTGCTGTGGTCTCCCTTTGGGATCATGCAGGGATCCTCTGGGAGCTGTACCTTGGGAATTGCCCCAGCAGGGCTTGGGAAGTGCTGCTCCTCCTGCTCCTGAGGTGCTGTTTGAAGCCTGGACACCTGAGCTGTGTTTCTGGCTCTCCAGAGCTCCCCAAACTGCATCAACACCTGTGCAGAGGGTGATGGAGTAAAAATTGTGGAGGCATTTTTAATTTGTGTCTGCCCCCAGTGCTTAACTTGTCAGTCTTCTGGATCTTGGAATGTTTTCCTTGTGTCAGAATAGATTTCACCCATTAAACTTTGCCATACTGAAAAACTTGGAGCTGGCAAAGGAGTTTTGTCACTTCTAAAATGCAGGACCCGAATGTTGAACTGTTGTTGCCATCCCTAGAGCAAAATGATTGAGGAAAATGAGCACCATGCTGTAGCTGAGGACCTGTTGTGTCCTGTGGGACCCTTTCTCTGCAGTCAGTTCAGCCATGGAAGTCAGTTTCCCTGGATTCTCCTCCAGGGCTTTCCAAGAGGGACATTTCCAGCACGGAGAATTGGTTTTAGCTCTGTTATTACTTTGTTGTGGGTTTTTTGGTGGGATAAGGGAACAGATAAGCAGTGCCATAGTACAATTGTAATTCTCACTGCCAAACAGCACCAGGATTCTGGGTATTCCCAAGACAGGGACTCCTGACATCACACTGCAGGAGACTTTTCCAGGTGAGATGAAATCCCTCAGACTGGGGAGCGAGAGGTTAGAGAGGAACGAGTCACTCACTCACTGAATGTACTGACTCCACCTTAAATTTTCTGCATTATGGAAGGATTTGCTATTTCGGTGAATTTTTAATAATTGAAGAATCAGGTGACTTTACCTCTTAACACTCTGAGTTTGCCCTTAGCAGCTCATTTTTAAGGTGAATTAACTGTGTGTATTAATAACTGAAGGATTGAAGTAAGAAGGTAAACTCTTTGTAACCTTTTGGTAATTTGTAGTCACTTGGACAAATCTCCTGAGTAGATACATGTATATCCAGTAATTTTCATTTATCCCCATTCAGCTGTGAGCAGATCTTGCAGGGTTTCTGGTTCCTCTGTGGGAAGTAGGTTAATCAAGCAAGGGGCTGAGCCAGTGCTGTTCCTTATTGGCAGCAAGAGGCACAGCTTTGGAAGTGAAACTAATGAGAGTCAGGTATTTGGGTCAGGATCTGACCTTGCCTATGGAAAATTATTACTGCAGAAGCATCAAGTTTTGGGTTTTGTTTGGATTTAGACTGATCCACATATCAGAAACTGCACTTAAATGCAACTCTCTTGTGGTTAGCAAAGTGATGCTGTTGAGCCCCCAGTTTTTCTGGCATGGAAGTAGTTTATTATCACAAGGAATATTTCTGGCAGGGAAGGGGGAAAGTCCTTTGCCTACAGCTTTCTTACAATTTTCTAAATAGGCATTAACAGCACATCTGAAGTATTCTGGTGTTTGCACATGTTGGTTTTGTTCTGTGGCTGCCTTTCAGCAGCAAGGCAGAAGTACAGGCCAGTTAACATTTTTTAGCTAATTTAATTGAATGCTTATTTAAAATGAGAATTCTTTTAACCCCAGCCATGGCTGCTTTTATATTCTGCACTTCCCTGTACCACATTCAGGACAGACAGAAGGAAAACATTTCTCCTGTGAAAATTCCATCTTTGTCAGTTTGGGGGATGGAAGGTGGTTATGCAGAGAGTTTTGGAGTTGAGAACATGCTGAAGTACAAGGTGGAAATCAGGATTTAATATTTTACTGTCTGTTTTCTTAACAGAAAGAAAAAGCAGCAAATGATAAAAAGGAGGACAAAAAGGCAGCAACAAAAGGGAAGAAAGGAGCCAAAGGCAAAGAGGAAACTAAACAAGAGGATGCTAAAGAAGAAAACCACTCTGAAAATGGAGATACCAAAACTAATGAGGTATTTTAGCTCCACTAAAGCTGGGAACAGAGCCAGATGTGCTGGGAGCACAGCTGCAGGAGCTCTGCTGGGCTCCAGAGGGTGGGGGGTCACTGCCACGCAGTGAGGACAGTGCAGCTGTGGTACCTGCCCAGGGCAGCTCCCAGGGAGAGCCTGCAGGAATGGCCTTCTCCTTCCAGCTCCTTCCTGCCCCGTGCTGGAGCCCTTCCACAGGTGCTGCCTGCCGGCCCTGGTCCCTCGGGGCTGGCTCACAGCCATGGCCAAGATTTGGGGAACAGTGGAGCCCAGGGACATCACCACCCTGCAGCCCTGAGCTGACTTTGCACATCCCCTCTGGACTGCTGGGTTCCTCTGCTGCTCAGCACGGGTTGGTGCTGGGCCAGAAATCTGCTTTTGAGTTCTACACAATTCTTTAAAACAATTCTTAGGCTCGGAACAATTCAACAAGAGATTTGCAAAGTAGACTCAGTCTTGTCTCTTACCTGCAGCTCTTCTCACAGGTCCTTGCTGTGGCAGCTCCTTTTGCTGGGTCCAGGCTCCACCAGCTGCTGAGGGCTGTCCCAGCAGATTCCTGGCTGCTAGTGAGGCAGTGTTTCCTCAGGGCTCTCTTGGCCGTGGCACAGCCCAGCCCGCGGTGTTCTGTCACTGACAGCGGTGTCTCTTCACGGGTTGTGTCACCATCCAGCCAAGGGTCCTTTATTCTTTCATCTCCAAAACGAGATCAGGAGCTGCTTGGTTAGAGCACTGCATGGCTAATGTGCTTCAGAGGGGCTTTAAGGGAGCCTTGTAGGTTTGATATCTTTACTTGGAAAGTAAAAGCACATTTTTATAGAGAAAGGTGAGAAGCAAACCCCCAAAGTTCAGACAGAGCAGGACTGTGGTTGATGTGTAATTCTTCCACTGCCCCATGATGAGGGCTTGAACTTCCCCTAACATATCCTTGATCCTAATTAAAATACATTCCAAACCTCTGCTTTTCTGCAGGCACTTATTCCAAAATTACCTCACTAATTGATACTCCTGTGTTTTGATATTAAGAATTATCAGCCCATTGTTATATCAGTATTTTCTGTGCATTCCTGTCTATCCACACAAAGCCTTGTCCATGTCTGTGTTAACAAACTGGTCTCTTTTTGATGCTGGTTAGATTGGAATCCAATTAGCATTACCAATAATATTTCTATTCTTCTCAACCCCTTTTCTAGGCACCAGCTGCTGAAGCATCTGACGATAAGGAAGCCAAGTCCGAGTAATGTTAACCCTGCCCTATATCTCCATCATTTGGTATCCGTACCTCCATGCTGTATTGTTAACAGAGAGGAATATTTTTATCAACTATTTTATAAATGCAGGTTTTTTTAGCATGAATTTAATTATGGAACATCTTCATCTCGGTTACTTGGGAATTAAATCCCTAACAAACAAAACAACAAAAAAAAAAGTCATTGTTTTTAAATTTTGTGATTGTAATAGTTTGTATGGTACATGGAAAGAATAAGTGGTGGTAGCTTTTGACTTCTGTCAGTGTGTCCCTTTTTGTGTAAGTCATGCTTACAGAATTCAGACTTTTAATTTTTCCCTTGTATGTGTTGTATGGTTTCTTAAAGTGGGGAGGTCTCAAAACAAATAACCGTGTGAAACATTCCAGTGGTTCTGTGGGTTGCTTTTATAAAGAAGGTGAGCTATTTTCATGAAAAAACCTAAGAGCTGGAAATCTGTTGTTTCCCAAATGTAATTTTATTTTGTCAGTTTTGAAAAAAAAAAAGAAAAAATAAATAAATAAAAGTGTAATCCTGTTTTTAAATGAAATACAAACATTTCTTTTCAAAAAGGGCAGGTTGGTTGTATGTACCCACTGTTAGGAATTTTGCTGGATTTATCTTAATAAAAAAGACTCCTCAAAAGTTGATTGTGGTTTGTTGCTTGTGCTGCTGGAAAACTCCCAAATTCCAGGAGCGCTGCAGTGGGAGAGGAGAGCCCATGGAGCTGGAGAGCTTTGGGCTTTTGGCTGAAGCCCCTCTCTGCCTCAGTTGTGTGACTTCCCATTAATCCAGGCCTCCTTACTCTGGGAAAGAACTGGACCAGACCAGTGAACTGGGGTTAAGTCCCAGTTCTGTTGTTACAGCTTTTTTTGTGGAACTTTATCAACTCTGCAAAAACCTTCTGTACAGCTACAGAATATATTTAATAATAAGAAAAAATGTCTGCAATGCAGAAACATCTCTCCCATTAAATTGTTCCTCAGCCCAGCAATGGGAAATTCCAAGAGCTCAAATATTTTGTGTCTAAACCCAAACAGCGCCTCAGTGAGAGTGTCTTGGATGCAGGGGGGTTGAGGATGAGTCCCCAGGGCCACTAGAGGATGTTTAAATGTGGATTTCATTTTCCAGGCCTCAGGCACAGGGGATTGTTATTCCTGCTGCTCCACCTGTTGTTCTGTACAGACATGGGGTTAACCTCAGCAGAGACAGTGAGGGGGTTCTGAGGGGCCTTTTCCTTGGCACTGTATTCCCTTAATCCAGCAGAGATTTTGGGGCATGCTCTGGTCTCTCCTCCAGTGAAAACTGATGGGTAACTGAATTCCCTGTGCCTGATGTGGGTAAAACCAGGGAGACTGAACATCCCAGTTGGAACATGATCCAACAAGAGTTCAGATGTCGTCCTGACTGACATCTAAAAATGATTCACTGAATTCCCACTCCACAAAGACAGGCTGGGAGAGCTGGGGATGTTCAGCCTGGAAAGGAGTAGGCTCTGGGAGACCTTGGAGCCCCTTCCAATGCCTAAGGGGGCCTATAAAAAGGAGGGAGAGGAACCTTCCATACAGGCACATTGTGACAGGACGGGGGGAAATGGTTTGAACAGAGGTCAGGGTTAGATGGGATTTTGGGAGGAAATGCTTCCTGTGGGGTGGTAGGTCCTGGCACAGGGTGCTCAGGGAAGCTGTGGCTGCCCCATCCCTGGAAGTGTCCAAGGCCAGGCTGGACAGGGCTGGGAGCAGCCTGGGATAGGGGAGGGTGTCCCTGCCCATAGCAGGGGGTGGATTAGATGATCTCTGAGTTCCCTTCCCACCCAAATCACTCCAGGATTCCATGATTCCATGAGTTTAGCAAGCAGTTGATGAAAAATCCCAAAGGGCCTGTACTGCTCCAGGGAGAAAATGCATCTTGGAAATACTTTAGATTTGTGTTATTTCCTACCCCAGTGATTTCTCTCAAAGGGCTTTGAACAGGAATCCAGTCCTGCAGGAAGGTGAAGCCCCTTCTCCCAGCCCTGGTGCCGTGGGACCATCTCTCTTTGGCTCCAGCCTCAATGTTGAGTGTCTCAAACATTGTGATTTGAGCAGCAGACACTGAATATGGTTGATACTTCCTTAGCACAGGATCCATCCATCTGCCAAGGTACAAACACCCTTTGGAATGAGGTCACTGATCCCAAGTCGTGTCTCTCCATCTGAGTCTAGAGGTTGTTACCCAGAACATAAAATGAAGTGTTTGGTTTTGGTTATTTCTTTTTTGAATGCCAGGGTGGGTGTTGTTCTTAATTCTATAACTATTGTTCTAATCAAATTCCTCTTTCAAATAAGTACAGAAAATTGCCTAAGAACATTTTGCTCAAATTCATAACTTTTCAGAGCCATGGGGTATTGAGAGAGTTGCACAACTGAATGGATTGTTTGGTTTATGCCAAAGCCTCCTCCACGGCTGTCCTGGTGTCTAGACACTGAATCCAACGCCGGCTCCATGGCAGCTCCCAAGTTTGGCTTATTTTGTCTGAAAAGAAGAGGTTTCAAACTGTTGAGTCAACCTACTTTCAGGTTTATTTGGAATTTGTGGAGAAAGTGCCTTCCCCAGGGTCCTTGGCTATCTGTTCCCTGGGTTCTGGGCGTTACTGGGTCTGATGCTGGTTAGGAAAGATCCACAGATTGCTCTGGGTCTGGGCTATCACTGTTCATAACAAATGGGGACCTTGAAGATGCAAAGGTGAAGAGATTCGTGAGTGGGAAGCTAGTGATGGTTCTGAGGTGATGTCATGGGAAGAGATTTGAGCGGTGTTGGCAACACCCTGGCATGGTGAGGTGTCCAGGCAGCTGGTCAGGATGAGAGGAGACAGCCTCAGGTAGCACCAGGGGAGGTTTAGATTGGATATTAGGGAAAGAAGGGTAGTCCAGCCCTGGCACAGGCTGGAGTCACCTCCCTGGGGGGATTAACTGTGGATGTGGCACTTGGGGACATGGCCAGTGGTGTCCTTGCCAATGCTGGGGGAACAGTTGGACCAAATGGACTCGGAGGGCTTTTCCAACCTAAATGTTCCTGTAATTCCATGATCCAGCTTTTGGTGCAGGCTCCCAGAGCAGCACAGTGTCCTCACACAGTGTCCTCACAGGATCTTAAACAGAACTGGGCAAGTATTTGCTTTTGTTTCCTCAGAACAATAAACCCACTGAAAAGCACTTTGAAAACACTGGTCACTGTCCTGGGAGGGACAGAGGAATCAGAGGAGGCACCTCCAGACTTCATCCTGGTCTCCACCATCAGCAACGTGCTGGAGCAGCACAGAGGGAAAAGGCACTGCTGCCTCAGCAAGCAAGAGAGAGGCAAACACAGTGAGGTCCTTGGGATGTAAAAAAAAAGGGGAAATGGGGGGGAAAATAAAATAAAACAACCCCTTCAAGCACATAAAAGGAAGGGGTTTGCAGGTTCATCCCACATCTACCTTTGCTCCTTTGAGTGAAGTGATTGTACACAAAAATAATAAGAAAAGAAAACCTCTCTGCTCTGGAGCCAGGCTGGGTAAGAAAAACTCTGGGGAGAGCTTGGAGACCTCTTCCAGTGCCTGAAGAGGCTCTAGGAGAGCTGGAGAGAGCCTTTGAACAAGGGATGGAGGGACAGGACAAAGAGAAAGGGCTTTAAGATGAAAGAGGATATATTTAATTTGAATATTGGGAAGAAATTCTTCCCCATGAGGGTGGGGAGGCCCTGGCACAGAGAAGCTGTGGCTGCCCCATCCCTGGAAGTGTCCAAGGCCATGCTGGACAGGGCTTGGAGAGATCTGGGAGAGTGGAAGGTGTCCCTGCCCATGGCAGGGGGCAGAACCAGAGGATATTTGAGGTCTGTTCCAACCCAAACCAGTCTGGGATTCTGTGACACTCCAACAGGTCTGGTTTTCAGATCAAGAGCAGCTCCCTGGCAGTAAATGAAGTAACACTGGTGTTAAGCTGATGAAGGAGGAAGAAAATTGAATCCCTGCAATGGAAACGATGGCTCCTCCCTCTGTCTCAGCGGTGCTGCTCCTTTGCCGTGCAGCTGCCGGGAGCCCCTGCTCTGAAACTTGATGCCCTGGATGGGCTCCAGGAGCTGGGAACACCCCGGGCCCGGCGCTGGGCGGCTTTCGAGGAGCTCTGTCCTTGGAGAGAACAATGTCAACGTGGCTTCCAGAGACTGTCCCAGTGCCCAGAGGAGCTGGAGGTGGCCACAAGTGACCGTGGACAAGGGGACAGATGTCACTGGTGACTTGTGTGGCCACTGTCCCCTGCTTTGAAAGGTGTGTGATTGGAATTGGGCTAGGGTGAGTCAAGGAGGGGATGGGAAGAGGATTAGAACTGCTCCTACCCCCTTCACCCACACCTTTCATCTGTTTTCAGAGAAGCTGTGGCTGCCCCATCCCTGGAAGTGTCCAAGGCCAGGTTGTACAGGGCTTGGAGCAACCTGGGACAGTGGAAGGTGTCCCTGCCATGGCAGGGGATAGAATGAGATGGGCTCTAAGGTCCCTTCCCACCCAAACCATTCCGTGATTCCAGGATTTCATGATCTGCCCTGATTTATCCACCTCTGCTGGAAGACGACAGGGAGGGGACAGTGGGACAGGATCCCAGAGGAGTGACACTCCCTTCCCCCTTCAGGGAACCACTGGAACAGCGTCAAATGGAAGTGATGTCCAGGGATTTGTGTGAACTTCAGGCTGAGGTAACACCTGAAAGCACTGAAAGGAAGTTGGTGCTGATGTGATAGAAAAGGGAAACACAGCAAATTGGAAAGCTCTGTTCCTAAGAGTGGGAATCCAATTGACACCATAAAGCTCTCAAAGGCAACTTAATACAATTGGGCACATATTAAACAATTCCAGACGTTCCTAAAAGGAGGGGAGGAAGCATAAATAACACAGGGAAAAATGCTGGATTGAAACCTAAACACAGAGTGGTCAAGATCACTCCCCCTCCCACTCCCAGCAGCATTCCCAGTCAGGGGTTCCAGGGCACGGCTGTTCCCTTTGGAAGTGCCTCCTCTGGGCAAGCGAGGTGTGCTGCTTCCACTGGGGATGAAGTGCAGCAGAAGCCTGGAATTCTCAGTAAAAGCTGCTCCAAAGTTATCCCAGAGCCAAAATCTCACAAAATCTCTGGGGTTTTGTTTGTTTAACATGAACAATTTGGTGGGGGGGGGAAGGGGGGGTGTGGAAGTGCATTTCTTGGAGCTCAAACCAGATGTGCGACATCCCAGCCACAAAGCTCAAAGCTCGGCTTCTGCGCTGTTTGTTTTCCCCCCAGGAAGATAAAAGGAGCTGTGGAGAAGGTTTGGATTGCAGCAGCTCTCGGGTTTCACCCTGGCTCCAGAGGCTGCTTTGTAGGACCACAAACGAGTTTTGCTGTTTCATGGATTCAGGGCTGCTGCTCCCCTCAGAGTATGGCTGGAGTTGGAGGTGGGCTGTCCCTAAGCCTCAGGCTGAGCCTCAGCTTTCCAGCGGGCTGCAATTTTGCTTGGTTTGGTTTCTTCCTTCATATAAATCCATCATCACAGAGGTGCTGACCAGAAGTATTTCCCCAAGTCATGGTTCCATTTTGTGCCGGCTCTGTCAGGAGAGAAAGGCTGGAATCATCTCTCTGGGCCTCATCCGAGGGCAATCCTGCAGGATCTGCCTTCTCTTCCTATAAATCCTTCCATGCTGCCAACAGAAAGTTCCAAATCCAGGCCAAACGTTCCCTGCTGTGGTTTTACCACCCATGTGTTTACAGCCTGGTTATCAACTGAGATCTTGGAGTAAACCCTGACTTCTCTGCACCATGTTTACTCCTATGCTCCTCTATACCTACAGCATTACCCTGGGAATAATTAAAATAATTAACAAGTGTAATTAACTGTTGGAGGGAAAAGGAGACTTTTAGGACATTATATCAGCAACAATTAAATAAATTACCCTTTTTGTCTTGCAAAGAATTGACAGACAGGGGGGAAAAGGATGTGGGATTTGTATTCCCTGGTGCAGCGGCACAGGGACAGTGAATAGAGGTCGGTGGCTCTTGTGTGGGGACACAAAGCAAACAAAGAGGCCCCAAATGAAATTACAGAGTGGCAGATGCAAAACGAGCATATTTCACACAATGAGTAATTAAACCATGTAACTCATTGCCCAAATGGAGCCCAGGAATCATAATGGCTTAGGAAGTGATTACACAAATTCTTGCAAGATGATCCGGTGGGGCTGTGGGACACAAAGACGTCTGCAGGAACAGCAATCCGTGGTGGTGGGAGGGAACCTGGAGTTGTCCCTGGCCCTGGACCTCTGTAAGGAGCTGGGGGGTGAGAGGACACAGGTCTGTACTTCCCCTTCAGTCTGAGCCCCTCCAGCCACATTCTGGGCACCTTGAAAGGAGGAAAACTTCCCTGCTGTTCACTGTATGTGGCTGTTGGTGGGGACAGGCACACAGCGTGGATGTACCCAAGGCACCACCTGTGTCCCTGCCAAGCCCTGTGCCACTGACCTGGGCAGTGCACCTCCCCCTGTGCAGGTGTGTTCCCAGAAATATTCTCCATTGGAGCTGAATTTTTCCCAGGAGAAAAAAGGTACCATATCATCCTTGTTCTTGGCAAAATTCCCTCCCCAAATGCCAACCTAGTGCCCAGGTTTGCCAGGTGCTGCTGGTGCTGAAGGTGAGGTGATGGCCACCACTGGGCTGGAGAAGGGGTCCAGATTCCCAGCTCCCAGTGCTGCTCCATTTGGGCTCGGGAATTATTTCCAACTCCCTTTTTGGCCCATCTTGGCTCTAAATCTTCTTGGCTTCACTTGGTGCTGCGGCGTCTAGGTGGTGGTCCTGGCTGGGGATTCCTGCATGGCTGGTCTGCACTCACAGCAAGGTCATCCCTGGGAATTTGGGGTTATCAGCTGCTGGGGTGACAGCACAGGGGCCGGGAGCAGGTAGCAGAGCTCTCAGGGTGTCAGAGGATGTGGCACTGTGGTGGTGGCTCCACAGGGCTGGGGGATGGTGGCATCAGGCTGTTCCAGCGCCCAGTGCAGGGATGCCTAGCAAGGATGCACAAGCAGGGACCAGAGAGCAGCCAAAGCAAAATGTATCCAGGATTCTCCTCCATCACCTGGAAGTGTGATGTTCCTGCAAGAACTGGAATCTTCTGGAATACCAGGAGCTCTCCCTGCCTGCCCCACAGCCTCTTCACTGCAGACAGGGGTGACAGAAACAGTGCAGTGTGTCCTATGAGGACAGGCTGGGAGAGATGAGGCTGTTCTGGAAAAAGCTCTGGGAGACCTTAGAGCCTCTTCCAGTGCCTGAAAGGGCTCCAAAGAAAGCTAGACAGAGACTTGGGATAAGTCACAGAGTGAGAGGAGAGATCTCCTGGACTCAGCAGCCCACGACATTCTTGGGAGAGCAACAGCATGCCCCTTGCTGCAGCAGGAATTGGTGATACTTGTGTATAGTTTATATATTTGTGTTTTTTACGTAACACGGAATCCCTGACTGATTTGGGTAGGAAGGGACCATAAACCCAAAGTTCACTCCCTGCCATGAGCAGGGACACCTTCTACTAGCCCCAAGGTTGCTCCAAGCCCTGTCCAACCTGGCCTTGGACACTCCTAGGGATGGGGCAGCCACATATTCAATATTGCTTTTCTGGGCAATCATACTGAATTATATACAATATACATAATATTAAATATACACATGCATCTCTGTAAAATGTGCCATGTTCAGATCAGGAGTGATTCTGTGGTGGATGCTGAAGATTGAGCTGATGTTCTGGCACTATGGGCTGTGCACCCCTTCACTGAGTGTCCCCAGATGCCCCTTTCCCTCAGCAGGGACAAAACCTGGTGGTTTTGGTTATTCCCTGGTTGCAGCCCTCGACTCTCCATCTCACTTCTCTCAAGAGCTGCATGACAAAACCAGCAGTTCTAGCCTATTATGGCGACCACTTGCTCCAGGAACCTCAAGAGTTTCATCAAAAGCCTGGATGAATTTCGGGTCTCGGGTTTTATTCATTCCAGCATTGGCTGACAAAGCCCATTACATCATCCCTTTGGAAGAGAAATTCTCTGCAGCTGCCTGTGTGGTGCGGGGAGCAGAGGGGGGCTGGTGTTTAAAAAATAACACAGATTTTTGTTTCTTTCTTTCAGGGCAATTTTCCTCCCAATTGCTGGAAAACTGAATACTAAAAAGCTTCAAAAGTGGGAAGGAAAAGGGCAGTGTGCAGCAGTTCCAGCCATTCCTGGGTTTATTATTATTATTATTATTATTATTATTTCCTTTCCAAAGACCAAAGAGGAAAAATAGCCCCATTACCCCGCGCATCCAGCGCGCCCAGCCAGCCGTGAAAAGCAAAGCCAGTGTCATGGCAATGGCAGATGGCACCGAGCGGGAGCAGGAGCGGGAACGGGAGCGGGAGCGGCGGCAGGAGCGGGAACGGGAGCGGGAGAGGGAGGGAGGGCGCCGGCCCCGACCTCCGCGCGGACCGCGCTCCTAATTAGCCCCGGAGCAGGGACTAATTAAACCCGCAGGTAAGACAAGTGATTACTTTTCCTTGCAGAGATGGGGCGCAGGAGTGATGTGGATGGAGCCGGAGCCGGTGTTGGAGTGGTCCTGACATCAATGGTAGGAAACGATTTCAATCTCGGCTCGTCCCTCCCGCGCTGCCAGGGAGCCACAGCAGCTATTCCCTGCTCTCCCAGCGAGCAGAGGCTGCGGAGAATGTGGGATCGCAAGGAAATACCCATGGGAAGGAGAGAGGCAGTGCCTGAATGCTGTGCTGATGACGTCAAAATGTGACATTCTCAATTACTAGCATTATTTGGCACCTAAGTGTCCGAAGTACCCCCTTGAACTCACCCGGGGTCAGAGTAGAAACTCCTCTTCCCTCCTCCACAGTTGTTTTGGAGTATTTTTTCATGCTTCATAACCTCATTCCTTTTAATCCACTTTTTCTGGTTTCCTATAAAAGAAGCAGTTGGAAGTAAATTATTTTCACTGCCGTTGAACTGGGTGCAAAGCTCTCAGAAAATGGGATCTAGAGAGGAAAATTATGACATTATATAATTTTAATATAGAATTACACTTATATTATATTATATTATATTATATTATATTATATTATATTATATTATATTATATTATATTATATTATATTATATTATTCAGTTATTCTGTAAATGTATTTATTTTTGCACTGCAAGAACTGGAAGTCCAGAGGTGCTCATGCAGCTGCGGTTGCTGATGATTCCTTCTGGGATGTGTTGGGCTTCCCACAGCTTTTACAAATGGGCTGAACTTTGCAAAAACCATAGGAAAACCTGTGGCTGTGGAGCCCTTGGCACTTCTTTGCCCATTCCCAGGCAGATGCTCTGCCCCCAGCACACACACGCTGGGTGAGCACAATGCCAATTCAGGCTGCCTCTGCTCGGCTTAAAATAGCTCCAACTCCAGCTCCACTGGAGCACTGGGAGCATCTCTCCACCTGGACCATGATCCCAGTCCCTGGGGATCACTGGGATTTCCAGAGCAACATCTCCCTCTTGCACAGCATCATCTGGATGATTCAAACTCAAGCGCTGCTGGATTTCTGCTTCCCAGTGAAACACCAGATAATTTGTTTCTGTTTTTACCCTGGATTAGTCAAGGGTCACTGCAGGACCAGATCAGAGTGTTGGACTTTCCATGGCCTTAAGCTTCATCCCATAAATGCTCTTGGCCTTTGACAAGCAGGAGAAGAGCCTGAGAGGACAATTCCTCTTTGTTGCCAGGGTTGGATCCCTGAGGAGCTGCCAGGGCTGCTGCAGCTCAGCACAGCTCATGGCCTCAACCCCACCACTGCACTTCCCATCCCAGCTTCCCTCACACAGAGGTGGTCAAAGTCACCCATTCCAATCTGAAAAGCATCCAGGATTATGAAAAAACTTGGGAACATCCCACTAGCAGCACTGTGGCTGAATTGCCACAGTTCCAACCTGGCTGGGATGCTCATGGGATAAAAAAAGCCAGGGAGAGTTTGGAATTTCTGGAAAAATTTCTAAATTTCTACCTGTTGCTGTTATTTAATGCAGAATCAAGGGGAAAACAAACCTGTCTGTAAAGAACAAATATGGAAATGGAGTTTCCATATTTGGAAAGAGAGGGACTATGCCCATTAAAAATATTAGCAATAATTAGTCCCAAATCACTGCCGTGAGCTGCAGATACTGATAGTCTGGATCTCCCGTCCATCAGAATGACTTGTAGTTATCAGCAGCTCCAGGGTTTTCCTGCCCTCCAGCAAACACATTTTTCCTTCTTCTGGAGGTCTGGTCATGTTTTGTTTAATTTCATTATTGAGAGAAATTAAAATATTCCTTACATCTGCATCAGCAGCTGGTAACAGGGCAAGAATTCAGCAAACTGTGAAAATATTAAAAAATACATAAACATCAAAATATATACATATAAAAAATAGGAGCTTCCTCCCTGTATTCCCTGAGCACATGAGGTTGCTTCCAATGCACATTTTATTTTAAGGTGAGTTATTTTGTTGCCATAGTGACATCATTCAGGTTTCCAACCGCTGCCGTGTTGGTTTTCTCCCAGGCAAGACTTGTCACAAGCAGTCAGCATCCCCAGCCCCTTCCTGGCCAGCAGCTTCCCACAGGGCTGCAGGATTCCCTGGAATTCCAGCCTGCAGGATGAGCTGTCACCACGCCCTGCTAAGGCACAGGGGGACACAGGACCTGGGGGAGTCAGAGAGGAGAGGCAGGCATGGAAAAACTCCAACCAAAAGGATTTTCCTCTGCTCATTCCTTATCCTTCCTCCTCGATGTGTGCAGTGAGCTGTGAGAAGGTCAAAGAACCCGGTAGCTTTATTAATTAGCACTAATTAATACACTCAACTGCCTCTGGTGTCATTGTGCTCATCCACCCCAGGCCCTGACATGGGCACGAATAAACCATGTTTGCCCCCAAAAGCATAAAATCTCTGTAAATCCTATTTCTTGCTACACAGGTGTCTCATGGATTTATTTTATTACCAAGAAAACTACACTAAAATAAAGATTTTATACACAAAGATCTGTAATTTTGTTAATAAATATGCAAAGAAAAGGGATTCCCTGTTAAGGGAATATTTGTAGGGTCATTTGGGTCATTTGGGCCCTGTAAGTATATTGGAAATTAATATTTAATTTTATGTATTTTTATAGTAATATTTAAATTAATTGTGTTATTATGATGCTAAAGTCTTTTAATGGGAAATGCTTTTTTTTTTTTTTTTTTTTTTTTTTTTTTTTTTTTTTTTTTTTTTTTTTTTTTTTTTAAAATAAAAATTTTTTTTTTTTTTTTTTTGTCTCTAATTCATTTAATTAAAGCAGGCAGAATGTGCCTCATTAGCCTAAAACCTATTTTTTTTTTTTTTTTTTGGCTCTAATTCATTTAATTAAAGCAGGCAGAATGTGCCTCATTAGCCTAAAACCTATTTCATGGGTGCCAGGCCCTATATGTGACTGAGAGCCTGGTTGCCTGTTCTACTGCAAGGCCAAAAGGAGCTCAAAAAAACCCCAACAAAACTGTTTGAAAGGTTTTCTACGTTTTTAATTTTAAATAAACCATTTCCAGATTATCAAATCAAGGCTACATTCCCATGGCAGACCTGAGCCCTGTGTAAGCTTTCCCAGGATTGCAGCATCTGGCTAAATCCAGCCCAGATTAAAGCAAAGCTTTCATTGCACAAACTCTCCCTGAAAGGAGCAGGATGCTCCTGATGCCGGGAAAAGGACAGAGCTGGGAATTGCAGGCAGAGGATAAAGAATGCCAAAGGCAGCAGCAGGATCCAGAGAGGAGGAGAGGAGGCAAGGCACTGTGCTGTACGAGGGACTGGTGACTTCTCTGCAGAGGGAATTTGAGAAGCAGAGCCATTCCAGCCTGAGATTACCCCAGCTCCCTGGTGGAAACCCTCTGGAACACAGCCTGAACACACCAGTCCACAGCTCAGCAACAGCCTTCACAAAAAGGCTCTTTGCTTGCAGAGGTTTTAGCCAAAGCCATTGTTTTAACACCCTTTTTAAAATATTTATTTCCGAATGTCTTTGATTGGGGGAAGGGTAGAAGGGGCTCCCAATTTAATTCCATAATCCTCCTAAGCCTTGCTTAATGCACTCACTCTGCCTGGCCTCTGTGAATTTTACAGTGGTGTTTTGGGTGGTTGCAGCACTGCACTGGAAAATGTCCCATCATTTATTTTGCAGCTATTTGAGGGAAATGATTCCCAGGGCTGGAAGCCTGGTTGTTAAATCCATATTGCCAAAGGAAACAAACTCTGTCACCCAGATGGGGCTGGACCTTGGGGCTGCCACGTGGATTCCTGAGTGAGGTAGCTAGGGTCCAGTTAAAAACTCCCAAAATTAACACTAAAGCAGGAGCAGGAGACTTTAGCAGCTGGTGAAAAATGTCATTTTTGGCTGAGGGGGTGGGTGGGGCTGCAGGGAACAAAGCAGAGTGCCCAGCTCGCCCAGCTCTTTGATGAGTCCCCCCAAACATGGCCATGGCTCACCCCAAGTGCACTTGGGTGGGAGGGATGAAGTGCTGCTCGAGGAAAATTCCAACAACAGATTTTGTCCTGCTGCTTTCTTCTCCTGACAGGGAAGGAGTGCTGCAGCCTGGTTTGTTCTCCACATGTTCAAGAAAGACAAAACTACACTTTCAATAGTCTTGATGCATCTCACGAGCCTTTGGTTTCCCTGAATCCTTCCCTCAGTTCTCAGCTCCCAGGATTTCTCCAAAATCTGCTTGAAAGCTGCACCAAGAGGACAGCATCACTCTCAATGGGATTTTTCTCTCTCCCATTTCAGGATGCACTGTGTCTCCCATGGAAATGTTCCTCGGCCATTCCAGAGGGATCCTGGAGTCAGCAAGGACAAAACTCCTGATATAAGGGCATGGGGGGCTGGCAGAGTCCATAGGCAGCAGCAAAGTCAAGATGAAAGATGGGTTTGGAAGAAAGTCAAGGTCTGAAAGGTGTTACCTGTAACAATCTCAGTCAGCAAGCAAAAGGAAAAAGCAAAGAGAGGAAAAAAATGAAGAGACTGAGAGGTACTGACTACACAGAGCAGGAGGGAGAAAGGTGTCCAGAGACAACAGGAAACATGGAGAGAAAAGGATCCTCAATAGGAAATGGCAGATCCTTCAGACTTCAAGGACAACGTGGAGAATGAACAGGAGAAGCTTTGTCCCACCTCTACAGTCATATTCCACACTTATGCCATTATAATCCAGGGATAACAAAGAAAACCTCAGAGAAATAAGGACTGATGACACAGTTCTGTCCTTATGGATAACATGTGCCTTCACAGCTTCACCTCCCACCTGGGGTGGTTTTCCAGCAGAAACTCAACCACACAGAACTTGGGGACTTCACAAACTCTAAAAAGGCTTTTTATTGTTTAAGAGAAATTAAAGGGAACGCCAATAGGGCAAGAACTTGCAGGTGTTGAAAACCACCTAATTGGAAATGAAATTAAATTAGTCCTTCAATCAGAAAAAAAAAAAAATCCACCCAAAAAACTTTAAAGGACCTTCCAAGAATGTAAGGCCTCTCCAAATCAAGATGACACACAAAACATATGGTTATGTCTCAAGCCCTAATAATTTAAGGCCAAAAATAAAAAGAGATTCTGAACTCCTGAGGACATCAAGGGAAAGACTTTTCCCAGAGATACAAAGTTGGATGGCTACAGGAGAATGTCAATGTCCATTAAATGATGGAAGTGCAAGAATTAAATGAAATGGGGTCACTTTACTGCAGAGGAATTTATGGAAGCTTCCATGCTAAAGCTTTTCCTTATGAGGGATAAGAGGCAGATGTCATTTCAAACTGAAGATCATGAGAAAAAGCTTTCTAATCAATAAATAAAATAATGGGAAGAGAATTCCTGTATGGGACAGCACTTTGAGAAATGTTCCAAAATCCCATCCTCGGATTCCATGATCAGTGACTTAGAAAGCTCATTCTAAACTCACACTCCTGTGAGTAAATTTACACAAGACAGTTTTCTAATCCATTACCTCATGCAGTAATTGAGAATTAATTTATAAAACTTTATTTAAAGAGTATTAATGTGCTTATTTACAATGTCTGCCTATTAGGGATATCAATAAATATAAAAAATACATCAAACTGTTTTATAACCTTTTATTTCAATAAAAGCAGCACTCTAAAAAACCCTATTGCACTCCTTCCCAATATTTCCACTATGTTTGTAAAATGAAAAATATAATTATAATATAAAAATACTCAAAACGTTATGAAAAAGGGTATGGGATACAGAGGGATGTAATTTTATTAAAATTGTTTACTTAGCTGAGGGAGTTCCAGTAAAATTTGCATGTTCAGGGAGAGAGGTGATGAATTCCCAGCTGCAGTCAGATGCTTTGTGCCCAGGCCTCCAGAGAAGCCAAAAATGCAGAGCCCTAAAAAATCACAAACAAAACATCAAAGGATCATTTACAAATATTTAGCATGGCTTGAAGCTGCTGAATTAGCCCAGTAGTGATATCAGGTGGCATTTTTGGGGTGAGATCCTTGTGCAGGGGACCCCTGGACTGGTAGCAGCCACGGGCATGTCAGGAGAAGCTGTAAAAGGTTGGGAACAGGGAGCTTGACCCCCAGCCAGGGGACACAGGTCAGGATCATGCCCTTAGACAGAGTTTGTGCTGAGTGCAGTAGTGACACCAGCAATAACAAAACCCACCTGGTCACTTACACCCAGTAGTCATCTGCTGCTATAGAACTTGGGGGTTCCAGGCACTTAGAGGCACAAAGTTGGAATTCAGAGGTGCTGGGGATGGACCTGACACTGATACCATTCTCCCAGTCCTTCTGCTGGAAGAGTCCAGAGCACACAGGGACACAGAGCCACCCCTTTTCCTGGGCGTTCCATCCACAGCTGGATTTGGCATTTCTGTGTGAAATAGAGATAAGGAGAAATGTTTAGATACTAGTCAGAAATTTCACTGCTTTGCAAAGCAGGCAGATTAAGCTCCCCCGGTCGCAGCAGGGCTGCACACACTGATCACAGCTCACAGCAGCTAATGGCTGCCACAAGGAATACGAGATATGGATCAGTCCACGGAGCAAGGGATGACACTGCTCCAGGCAGGTGGAATTTAGGCTGAATGGATTTTGGAATTCTCAAAAGGAAAAAAAACATCATATTTACATCACCAGAACAAGTAATTTATTAGCAAGATGAACTGCTGCAAGATAGAATTTAGAAACAAAGGCGAGCGCGTCCTGGCTGCTCCTCCATCGCCTTCCTACGGGATAATGTTGCACCCAACTCTTGGATGTCTGGCACCATCTAGAGGAATGACTGGAATGATGCAGCAGAGAAATAAATATTAAATTATTAAAAATAGCAAAAAACCTGGAGCAGATCTTGTGTAATATCTAACAGCTATTTAGATAATATTTATCAGCTCTTGTCGAGGAAGAGAACCACGGGAAGGAGTGGGAACTTGGAGGTTTGTCCGGCAAAAAGAGGATGTTGGTTTGCACACACGAGCCCTGCACTCCAGCAACTGTAATTAGTACTAATTACTTTGCATCTCATTTATTTTTAAAAATAAACTATGATATCAAAATTTGAGGTTTCTCTATGTAAAGGTCTTAAGCTTGGACATTTCAATATTCATTTACTCATAACTGTGTAGCACAAGGCACCAACTCCTGAATTCCTTCTGAACAGCTCTTATTTTTGAATCAGCTAAACAAAATTTGGATTTAACTACTATCCATTTAGCTCCATATAAAAGGCCCAAGATGAGCAGAATGTTCATAAAAATCCTTGTGGGTTGCTTCCAACTCAGGGGTGTTCTATGAAATGTACACAGAAAATATATATTAAAAAAAAATACTAAAATGTATCATTTGTTCCAGCGTTCAAATTCAGCTGGATTCAGGCATGTGCATCCTTATCTACATTTACTAGAAAGGTACAATGCATGTAAATCTACCACACATACACAATTCCAGTCCAAATTTTATTTTTTTTTAATTTTAACTGTACATTTCTGGTTATGCTAAACCACAGTTCTGTTTCCACACATGGTTAAAACAGGATTTGACTCATGAGGGCAGAATAATAATAAATAAAATAAAACCACATTTACCTGGTTTTACAAGCTGATTGTGGGAAAGTTCGCTTAATTTTGTAGTAAAATTAAGCAGGGGTTGAATTTTACTTTTAACTGCAACTAAGAGCAAAACTCCCTAAAACACCAAATGGGGAGAAGCAATGGGTATTTCAATGTCATCAGTACCTACTCCTAAAATTCCTCAAAAACTTTCAGTTTTTTATTTATTTAAAGAGCAGTATGGAAAGAAACAGCTACAATCCAGCTTCTTCCTTAAAGCATCTCTGCTCCCGAATCCTTCTGTGGCTCATTAGTCTGTTCTCCCTCCTCCTGCCACCAGCTGCTGCTGGCATTTACATAACAGAGCTCTGCTCTGAGGAAAGATGAATCAGCACATCCATAAAATCCTGCTTTCACTCCAAGATTTACTATCACCCCCAGCATGCTGCTGCTTGGATGCAGAGGATCTGGAAAAGGATGAGTCATGGAGCTGCAGAATCCACGTGTGGTGTGGAAATGGAGCTCCTGGGGAAAGAGAGGATGGGCATTACTCACCAGACATGATTCCTGGAGGGGAAAACCCAGGAGAGGTGGGAAGAGGTATTGATAACAGCCCGTGTAGCAGGCTTGGGGAGTAATGAGGCAACTGGGAGAGCGCTAAGGAGAGGAAGCTGATGTGCCAAGGAGTCAGGAATGCTGGGAAGAGGCTCGGGAGTGACTGCACAGCAGCACTGTCCAGCCACAGCCAGGCCGAGGGAAGCTCCCTGTGAACTGTTTGGGAATGAGGAATGCTGGCTGTACCTGCCCCTGTGCAGGTTCCTGCACAGCAGTGCCCTGCAGCACACACGGGACACACCGGGGCCATTCCCAACACTCTCCCCTCCTGCTGATGCAAGAATCCATCCGAGCCACGATGTGGAGCAACACTGGCTGAGCACTGACCCGAGGCTGTGGACTGAGCACCAAGCAAGGAGCAGCCAGGCTCCCAGCTGGAATGCTGCAGGAAGGACACAAGCAAGGCATGGACAAGCTTACTTTGGGAGTATTTTTTATCCCAGGCTTTTGAAAGCCCCTTTTAGTTACTGCAGAAATTCCCATGGGCTCTAGACAGGTCCAAACAGAACAATCCTGCCTGGTGGTGCTGCAGCTTCTCCTGTACCACCCCCAAGCTCAAATAAAAGCATATCATGAGTGGAGAGATTCAGTAAGGCACCAAAAGGTGCCAAGGAAATGCCACATTCCTAAAAAAATACAGAATCACGGAATCCCAGAATGGTTTGGGTTGGAAGAGGCATTAAAGCCCATCCACCCCCACCCCTGCCATGGACAGGGACACCTTCCACTATCCCAGGTTGCTCTAAGTCCCATGCAACCCAGCCTTGGACACTTGCATGGATGGGGCAGCCACAGCTTCTCTGGGCGCTCTGTGTCAGGGCCTCTACACCGTCACAGGGCACAATTCCTTCCCAACATCCCATCTAACCCTGCCCTCTGGCAGTGGGAAGCCATTTCCTCTTGTCCTGGCACTCCAGGCCCATGTGGTCTCTCTCCATCTTCCCTGTGGGGTCCCCTCAGGCACTGGAAGGCCACCGTTAGTCATTCTGGAGTTTCTCTTCTCCAGGCTGAACAATCCCAATTCTCCCAGCCTCTCCTCGCAGCAGAGCTGCACTAGCCCTCTGACCATCTCGGTGCCTCCACTGCATTTGCTCCAACAACTCCAGGTCCTTCCTGTGCAGGGCTGGAGGCAGCTCTGCAGGTGGGGGTCTCACCCAAGCACGCATGTGGAGCTGTTGGCACCGAAATGCACCAGGACATGGTGCTGGCCAGTATTTATGGGGCTGATTTTCCCTTGACGTGGAATTCTGATCAGCTCAGGATGATGAATTTGTACTTTCAAGGCATATTATGAAACATCATCCGTGTTTTCTCCTTTGCCTTCCCATCACGCATGAAAAGATGAGCTTGCAGTTCTGGGCTCTGAAGACAGGTGGGAGAAACATTCTCCTCCGGAGAGTGGGATCAGTGTGTGCTTCTCCTGGCTGGGAGCTCATTCTGGGAACAGCAGTTTCACCCTCTCCTGGGAAGCTCTGCAGCTTTGGAGCCTCTGGGGTCCTGCTGGGAAGCTGGGAGAGCTGTTACTACTGGAAAGCCACTGGAATTTGCAGCTTGGTGAGGTGGCACCTCTTGTCTGTCCACTTATGCGCTGAGCCATGAACCAGCCCTGAAAACATTCCAAGAGTAATTGTTTGGAGCCTACCAGAAAAGTGGAAAGGGACGTGGGACAAGGGGAAATGGCTTCCCACTGCCAGAGGACAAGGTTAGGGGGGGTATTTGGAAGAATTTTTTATTGTGAAGGTAGGGAGGCCTTGGCACAGATGCCCAGAGAAGCTGTGGCTGCCCCTGCATCCCTGGAAGTGCCCAAGGCCAGGCTGGACGGGGCTTGGAGCAGCGTGGGGTAGCAGAAGGTGTCCCTGCCATGGCAGGGGGTGGGACTGGATGAACTTTAAGGTTCCTTCCATCAAACCATTCTGTGATCCTATCAACAGTCACCGAGAACTCAAGAACTTTAGAGGATGACGAAGAGGAATCAGGGTCCACTCATCAGCCAGTTAATCCAAGCTCCTGGCACAAAACACCTTCCACAGGTGGATGAAGGGACAGGTGAATACAGGCGAATTATGTGGAGCAGCCTAATGCCAAATCCCCAAATCCTTCTCCCCAGATTGGCTGGGTGCCTGAAGGCATTCTGTGGAGCTGCCAGAAGGAAGGACTGCATCCTGACTGCACAGCAAAACTCTGAGCCACTGCTCCACAGCAAACCCAGTCCTGAGCAGCTGCGCTTAAACTAAATTTATTCTTAATATTACCAGAGCATTGACTCACAGTGATTCAGCTCTCGGTATTCCAGGCATGAGGAGAGGCTGTCCTTGGCTATTCCACAATGACAGTGGCTTTTACACTGGAGTTCTAACACCAAATGTCACGTACTTTAGATAAAATACAATCACTTGATGTGTTTTAGCAACTCCTCGCTGAAGTGACACCGATTTCAGAAGCTGTGACGGGACGCATCCCATGGAAAAATATTTATTTCCATTAGGACGATCTACTCTAACCCTGACCCCTTTGTTCCTTGGAGAGAACAGGTGCTGCATCCATCATATCGGAATTTCCTGGCCACTGGGAGCAAACACTTTTATTTAACTCCTAAGGTCACCCCAACCTGAGACACTTCCCTGCAGCCAGGCCTTGTTTACCGGGAGCCCGGAAGGGCTGTCCCTTCCCCACCGCGCAGCCCGGGCTCCATCCCCCTCCCCTTGCCAGGACCCCTAAGGTTCCTGAATCCCTTCATCCTCTTAAAAACTGCTTCACTAGCGGCACACACGGGGCTCCACTTCCCAGGAGCTTCCAGGCAGGAGGCCAGGAGCACTGAGCCGAGCACACTGCAGCCGTGAGGGCCGGAGCCGTGAGGGCTGAGGCAGGGACACCCGGGGAGCGCCGAAGCCGCGAGGCCAGAGCCGTTAGCGCTCCCCCGTGACGCCTACCGGGCCCTCCGAAGCACGGCCCGGCGCAGCGCTGCCCCGTGACGGCGGCCGAACGCCCGGGGAGATCGCGGCCCGGCGGCCCGGCCCTTCCTCCTCCTCCCCTTCCTCCTCCTCCCTCAGCCGCCGCCCGGAAGTGGCGCGCGCCCCCCCGCGGCGCGTGCCCGCCCCGCCCTTCCTGCGCCCCCCCGCCCGCCCGCCGCTGCCGCGCGCGCCCCCCGGCGGCGGGCGGCGGCGGTGCGGGCGGTGCCGGCGGCGCTCGGTCCGCGGAGCCGCGATGAGCCCGGGCGGGACCCGCGCCCGCACCCGCACCGGGACCCGCGCCCCGCACCGGCACCGCCGCTCCGGCATGGGGCTGCGCCCGCACTAGGAGCCGAGTCCCCCCGGGGCGCCATCCGCCACCTCCCCTCCCCCTCCCGAGGAGGATGGCGGCGGCGGCCGCCCCGACCCAGCTGGAAGCCGGTGGGTATCGCTGGCGGCGGGGGCTGCGCTCCGCACCCCCTCCGTTCTTACCGTGTCTAACCCGCTCTCCCCCGCCTCTCCGCAGAGCTCTACTACCTGATCGCACGGTTCCTGCAGTCCGGACCCTGCAAGAAATCCGCCCAGGTGAGCGCGGAGCCGGCGCTCCGGCCGGGCCGGGCGGGCGGCGACGGGACGGGACGGGACGGGACGGGACGGGACGGGACGGGGCGGCGGAGCCGCTGCGCTGCGGCCGCCGGACTCACGTCCTTTGTGTGTGTCTGTGTGTCTGTGTGTCCCTCTGTCCCCAGGTACTGGTAGAGGAGCTGGAGGAGCACCAGGTGAGGCGCCTGCCCCGGCGGGACGGGGGAAGCCCTCGGGACGGCGGGGTCGGCGTTTGCCCTGCCCCGTCTAACCCAGCCCATCTCCGCCCGGGACACCCGGCGGGAGCGCGGCTGCCCCGCGGCGCGGCCGGGGCCAGCGGCCGGGGGGGCTCCATCCCGGGGGGCGCGGGCGGGCACCGGGGGCGCTGCCCAGGGAGGGGTCGCTCGGGCTCTGACGGCCGCCCCCGTCCCCGTGTCCCTCCCGCAGCTCATCCCGCGGCGCCTGGACTGGCAGGGCAAGGAGCACCGCCGGAGCTTCGAGGACCTGGTGAGACAAGTTTCACTCCTGACTTTTCCGACAACTTCCCTCCGCCCCCCGCGCCACCGCCGCCGCACCGGGCGCCGCGTCCCCCCCTCCGCCCCGTTTGTGTGTCCCCCCCCAATAAGCGCGGCGGGCTGCGCCCCGCCGAGGCCGCGGCGGGCCGCGGAGTGCGGAGCGGAGGGCAGGGCAGGGAGCGGAGGCGCGGCGGGGCCGGGGGCCGCCGGCGAGACCCCCGTGAGCCGCCCGGTGGCACCGGCGGAGCGGCCGCGCCGCGCTATTGTGGGGCCGGGGGTTATCCGAGGGCACGCACCGGGGCCCGGCGCGGCCAATGGCGCCGCGCCTTACAACGCGGAGAGCGGTGCGCGGCGATGTGAGGCGGCAGCTGATTGGCTGCGGCGGCGCCGCGGCGGAGCCGGCGGGGCGGGGGGCGCGGGGCGCGGGTCCCCCCGGCTCCGCCGCTCCATCGCCGCCGGCCCCGGGGCTGCCCCGCTGCGGGCCGGGCTCGGCCGCTCTCCCGCAGCCCGGCGGGGGGGACGTGCCGGACGTGCCGCCGGGCCCGGCGCTGCCGGGCTGGGTCAGGGATTCCCGGCCTGCGGCGGCCTGCGCGAAACCCGCCCCTCTCCGCGGTGTCTGGGCCTGCTGTCAGGCAGGAAAGGAGGGGTTAGGAAGTGTGGTGTTGTGGCTGTTAAATGCCCGTGAAATGCACGGGGTGGCTGCTGCTGCTGGGTGCGAAACCCCATGAATGTGTGTCATTGAGGAAGGTCAGTCCCTCCGCAAGGCCGGCGGTGGGAGGTGGCCCTTGGCCCCGCGCCCCCCGGGACGTGTCTGTAAAAGCGACAACATTAAAGCCCTTCCAGTCCTTTTCCAAAGGGCCCAGGCGGCCTTGATTTCATTTCTGGGAGCTGTGGGCAATGACGTGTGGCGCTGATGTAGCACTCTGCAGTTGGAAGGCTGTAAACTTCCCCACAGCGCTTGTGGCGCTGATACCTGTGCCCAGCGCTGGCAGCTCACCTGGAAGGAATGGGAAGCACGTCCTGGCCTCTCCCGGCTCCGTGGAGCAACAGTGACGTGGGATTTTGCCATGACTCTTGCTCAAACTCCTCTGCATCTGTCTCCACTTTAGCAACATTGTAGGAGCTCAGGTGTGGACAGAACTCCTTGTGCCCAGAGGAGACCTTTGGTGCCGCTGCCTTTCCCTTTCTAAAGCCTGTTCAGAATTTCAGGTGGAAGCCAGGCTTCCTCACACCTCTGGTGGATAATTCTGGCACTGTAAATTGAGTGAACAGACATAAAGTTCTGCAGTCAATAAATTTTGGTGCTCTGTGGTCTTCTTGAGAATCTGAAATCTAACTGGGCTGTCTCAGGTTTAACGTGGGACTACACCCAATATCCAGGAGGAATATTAGCAGTGCCACTATGAGGTCTGGTGTCAGAGTGGTTTTGCCTATCACTTTGATTAACATACACTTTTTTTCTATTTATTCTCTGTGGCACAGATATAAAAGCCTTGAAACCTTAAAATCTTTTTTTAAATGTGTGTTTGAACATGTTGAAACGTACTTTTCTTTAACATTTCAGAAACTGGAGAAAAACCGTTTTGAAGTGAGTTTTGGAGTTAATGGGAAATTTCTTATTTCTGTATAAACTAATATCGTAATTAAATTTAAGATTTTTTTTGTCTTAAACTAATCAGCACTAATCGATGCTTTTAGTTTGCCCTTTTATATAATATTATTTAACTTTTTCTCATGGTTTACAGTAAGGACCAGGATTATAAATGAATCCTTACAGTGGGGCAGGTTGATGCCAGGTGGGATGAGCTGAGTTTCTGTCTGTGAATCCTCAGAATGTTAAGGATGTTGAAGAAAGGCTTTTTCTCCCTCATTGCTTAGGGTTTGCTGTGTTTGGAATTTGGACTTTTGGCTGCATATGATTGTTTATTAACCTGAGCCCCTCAACTTCAGGGTGGCTGGATGTCTGAATGCAATGATCAGAACAGAACCAGGGTTGTGAAGGACACAAAGCACTCCAACCTTCATTTTAATTATCTCAGGCACATAATGAACCCAAATTAAATTGGAGGTGCCAGCAGTTGGAGGTAAACGGGTTTTTTCTATCCTTTTCTACTTTTTACAGCCAGAAACCCAAAATCGTTTACAATCTCAGCTGGGTGGTGCAGCTACTCTGGTCAGGCAGGTAATTGAATTCATGAGAGTTTACAACCCGGAGAAGTCTGATTTGTTTGTTTGCCCAATATTCAGACAGAGTATTTCTTGTTCTGCTGTTTCAGCTTTGTTTTCCATCCTAGCTGTGGCTGTTCAGGTTCCAAGTGGTGTTTTTCAGAAAATATGCCAGCACTGTGACCACTGAGTCTGTTGTTACTGCTCCTGGGCTTTTGGGAGTGATAAAGATGGAACAGCCCAATGGCCACTGGATGGTCTTTATCTAGGGAATGTTTACTCCCACTTCACTCAAGTTTTTAGGCAAGATCTGAAAGCT